CGGTAACCTAATGCCGGATGTACACTGTGTGATATTTTCAATCGTTTCACTCAGCCCCAGCTCAAACTGTATGACCAAATTGAAGAGTTTAAAAGTTCACAGCTCATGGTTCATGATCTCACACTCTAAGAACAACTTCAACAGTGTGAAACCCGCACGAGAGGTGACTGGATTTCAAACCGGTTTGATATTATTGTGACCTAAGGATGTCGATCAGGAGCTGCTCATGAGGTATTAATCGGTTCTTGTTACCCCATGTTTACTACACGAGTGAAAAATCTACTCAGAAAGGGCCAAAAATCGCACAGTGTACACCTGGCATAAGTGTACTTCTTCACACTATGGTATCGGACTGGTATTGGTATCGACAAGTACACCAAGGCCAAGTATCGTAACGGATCGGATCCCAAAAAAATGATCGAAACAACACTACATTTGCACAACTGTATATAATAAAATGTTTAGATGACCACATTTTTCCACTGGATGCAATTCAAAATGCTAAATTCTACAGGCAATTCAAAACTAATTTTTCAACCATTCAGAAATCAATGAGCCAATTCAACACCTCCTTTCAGTCCAGGCATTCACCGCCCTCTACTCCTCTCACATATTCATACTTTGCAGCTTTGCCAGGAAATCACTGGTCCTATCAACTGCGGCATATTTAGACGCAGGATGTGAAGGAGGCGGCTTCATTTCGCTCTATTTTAAGATCTACAGAAACGCAGTTTACACCAGTAATGAGGCCTCGGGTTTCAGTTCGGTTTTTGTGCAGCTAAATTGTAATTCGGCACTTTCTTTTGTCCATCATTTCCCTTTGAGTCTGTAAAAATTCACATCATATCACAGCTGCAAATAGGCCTTTCACAACAACATGATCTGAAGAGCGCTTAAAAGTAAAAAAAAGTGGACGCACCAATGTTCTTTACGTTTACTACTTAAACTACTACTTATCTGCATACTAAAGACATCAAATATGAAGCAAAATGTATGGACAGTATATAGGTAATAAACTCTTAATTCATATTTTTTATATTTTAAATTCAAATTAATCAGTCTTGTTGACAGTAGGGCAGTGGCAGAAAGTAACAAAGTATAAACGCAAAAGTACAATACATAAGTACAAATTTTAGGCATCTGTTAATTTTACAGTGGATACTTTTTACTTACTTTACTACATTTGAGCATGTGTATCTGTACTTTCTACTCCACTACATTATATATATTTGTTTTTTGTCATATATATTTATTTTGTTTTTTGTTTTTCTCCCATATTGCGGCCTTATAGTCACACAGTAATGCCGCAAGTACACAAATCACTACATTTTAGATCTGGACTGAAAAGTAAAAAGTACTTCGAAATGGCTTTTTTAGACTCCTTGGACTTTTTATTTTTCGCACATTTAATTTGAGTTTCTGTCCCAACATTGAGCAAACCAAATATACAAAAACACAAAGACAAAATCTATTGAATCATTTAAAATCAGCTAAATTTTTTTTATCAAAATCACTACATTTCATCCTTTAATTGTTCTAAAACCCTCTACAAAATAGTTTTAATTTTTTACCCTTAAAGTACATTTTTAAACAGGTACTTTTTTCAGGTGATACTTTTACTTGAATAACGTTTTGTCCCTGTATCTGTACTTTTACTTAAGAAACAAAATTGAGTACCTCATCCACAACAGCAGTAAGGATATAATAATAATAATAATAATTGAAATATTGTGTTATCGTATCATCAAAAGTCTCACAATAACACTAAGTTTATTTTGTTACGGTGCAGCAACAGCTAAAAAAACAAGAGAGAACTACATAGACCATGATCCTTTGCTCAGGTTCAATCCAATCTACATGGTGAACTTCTTGATAAATTCTCCTAAAATGGTTTTCTCTTGACAGCTGTGCCTTGTCAGGGTTCATTAGTGGAATGCCAAGACTGTGTAAAGCAGAAATAAAAAAAAAGGGTGGCTGTTTTCAAGAATCTAAAATAAAAAAGTTATTTCACACTCTTTTGTTTACTATATTCCGTACATGTTCATTCATAGTTGTGACGCCTTGAGTGACCATCTACAATGTGAATAGTCATGAAAATATAACAGGGTATCCCCGGGTTTGACTGCCCCAAATTTAGGACCTTTTTAAGACCACTTCAGTGAAAATGAAGACCAACGTCGCACCCATTATGCGGGTGAAAAACACCAGGTCTAAATTCTAATACTGACCAACCAACTACTGGTACTAGATCTAAAATCTAAGGCTTCGTTTATATGATGACGGTCCTAACAGAAGACACAAAAGTGGCGTAACGTCTTCACTTTTTAGACGAACGTTTTCAGGAGGAATTCTGTGTGCATACGGTGACGAAAAAGTGTGTGGAATTGGACTGGGTGCATGTCAGGAGGCTCAGCGGTGACTCTAGGTGGTGATGTATGTGAAGTACACACATACATGATATGAGCAGATCTGACCAGAGTTTTGCGTCTTGGGCAGTGTAGACGGAACTGATTGTTTACTCATTGCTGCCGGCGCCAAAAACCAAAGTATTGTTTGCGCATACTCATACTCATTCACGTTACATTATTTCACGTTGTTGTTGTTTTTTTCCCTCCCTCCATTTAACATTGCACTGCAGCCCGGATGAGTAAACAAAAAATAGCCTAATCAAATTTAAGACCTTTGTGAAAAAAATAAGACTTGGACAACATAATTTAAGACTTTTTAAGGCCTTAATTAAGGAACATGAAATTTAAAACCTTTTTAAGACTTTTAAGACCTTGCAGCTACCCTGTATACAAAAAAAAAAAAAAAAAAGATTCTAATAAATAAACAGCAAAAATGAAACCCTTTAGTTAGTTTACATCTGTGATGAGTAGAATTTATCCAACTCAACAACTCAAAAATTTAATAGTAGCACAGGAAAAAGACAAAATTAGCAAAAAGAAGCACATTTGCATAAAGAAAAAGTACAAATAAATACTGACTAGAGATGGACCAGTGTGGGTTTTTCATGACCAGTGCTGATACAGATTGTTAAAAATCCACAGAAACCAATGACCAATAAGATCTGTAGATATTTTTGGTCTGATTTTGATTAACTTGGATCATTGGAGGAAAATAAAGTCACTGCAAACTCACCCACAAACCCTTAAGACAGTTGTGTAGTCACATTTTGCGCAGTACATTTTTTGTATTCAAATGCTAAAATAAAGCTTTGTGTGTATTTTTTAGGCAGCAGATCCTTCTCACTATGGACTGAAAATGTAGAACTTCTTAAGGGATAGTGAGTGACGGCATGGACTAGTGAAGCAGATCTCACCATGAATAGATCTGAAACTGTCTGTCTTGATTTTTATTCTTATTTATTCTGTCTTCATGTCTGTCTGTCTTAATGTGCAATTTTCGTTTTGTTTTTAGGCAGCAAATTGACCAAAACTAAATATCGGTGTGCGCTGGAAATTTAAGGTCAATAGCAAATGCTCTAAAACGTCCAAATATCGTCCAGAGATCGGCCTATCGCCAATGACGCAATTTAGACAAGTATAGAATCTGTAACCCAATACAGTAATCTGCGTGACAGGCTTTCAAACAGGTTTCCGAGCGGCAGGATTCTCCAGTCAGACCACAGAAGTAATGAGATTAGGTAGATGTTGCTGTATCCGGTCTCTGGCTAGTTAAAAAAAAAAAAAAAAAAAGGAAAAAAGGGTAATTTGATTTAAACCAGGTTGGAGATATCACTGGGCAGCTGGGATAAAAGAACCGCTTTGACAAAAGGGGAGAGCACACAAGTTAAGAACCAAACCGAAGCCAAACAAATCCACACCACACTTTAAGCTTAATGTGTAGAGTCCACACACTCGTGGGAAACCAGCAGGACTTTATGGAAAAATTATTTTTATGACCGATACTGCAGTTTTGACTCACTGACTGAATCATATCGATAAGAAAATGGGCTTCGTTTGCATGTAAAAATTGTTATAAAATTTGCTTAACCCGGGTTTATTATGTTCATCTAGCACAGCATGTTTTATATTATGGTGATACACAAAGATTAAATGAATCATATAAAAGTTAAACTTTAACTTTCTACCTTTCAGTTGGGGATTTCAACTGAGCATAAAAAGTTCCACAGAAAAAGTTGAAATGAGTAACGTTACCACCACCTGCTTATCTCCATGGAGAGGTCATGGTTTTGAAGAAATGTTCCTCAGTATGGCATTAAAAATGATCTAGCTCCTCCTCCATGAGGGAAGTAAGCTGTACTAGAACATTACACACTGGAACTTTAAGTTACTGTTGGACATTTTAACCTAAGTATTTTGGGTTTGTATATGAAAAAACTAAAGATAATTGTGGCTTGTAAACTGTATTTCTCTCAGTACATTACATTTTTAATGAGCATTAAAATATATAACATTATAAAAAGTTAGCTAAGAGCGGTCAGTGCTAACCATTGAGCTAAGCTAGCAGATAGCATGTTTGCATTGATTTGAATCTGTAATACATGTTCAAATATGTCACTAAAATGTCCAAACATGAGCAGAATGTAAAGGAAAACTGGTATTATATATTGTATATGCAGGGCAGTAGAGAGGGGGGTTCAAGGGGGATGTTATCCCGGGCCCCAGGGTCTTAGGGGTCCAGAATTCCACCCTCTTCCTATTCATTTATATTGGAGCGGGGCCCATGGGAGGGTTCTTGCCCCAGGCCTCCAAATTTGTGTTAACGGGCCTGTGTGTGTGTACTATATATTATATATGAAAATATTTTAAATATCAGTTTATAAACTATAGTTTAGCCCCTCCCAGATCAAGCAGCAGTATGGAAGAGATATTGGGCAGATCACATGGTCGCTGTGACAGATTTGCAGGTTTCTGTGCAGTGTGTGAACCCTGTGCACATTGGCACACATCTGAAGTGACATGCTTTTTTCTCTCGTCGTGCAGAGGTGAGGGGGGAATAGAGGGGAGTATGGAGCGTGGGATGGGGGTACTTACGAGATTTCTGCCCCCACACGGGCAGGTGCAGCCTCCCGGACGAATAGTAGATGAAGACCAGGACCAGCATGGGGCACAGGAAGAACAGCAGCTTGTGTGTGGGCTTCATGGTCTGCAGTCTTTCACATGGCACCAGCGGGCTCCTCACCTGCACCAGCACAACGTTTAAGCACAACTTAGACTCATTTCACCAAACCAGAGCTAAACATGCACTGTGTAACTTTTTTGGTGGAATGTCCATCACCTGCTTGTTTGTATGGAGATGTCATTGCTCTGCCTGGAATGTTCCACAGTGTGACATTAAACAGCTCTACTTTACATTTATTCAATTAGAGGTGGTTTTACAGCTCAAAAATGCCTAGAAATACAGACATTCTGACTGTGAGCGGGGTTGCTTCTCCACAGATCTGACCTGTAACTTGGTCTGGTTTGGTCTCCATGAAGATAGAAGGATTAATGCCATACTGTGAAACATTCCAGCCAAAACAATAACATCTCCATGGAGAAAAACATTTGATGGACCCTCCACCAGAAAAGTTGCACAATGCACTATTAACATTTAACTAAAAAATGTCAGCCAATCGCAGCTCTGACATAATGGATTATAATCAAAGTAAAGAACTATTCTCTCACATGTAAAACTCAAGACCTCATTTAGAGCATGGACACAAAGAAATAAAAACTGTAGTGATCCTGCTCTTTATGCCTGAAGTCAGTCTGTCTGTTTTTTTCCCGTATGGCCCAGCCCTAACAGAACTATTCAGCAGAATCATGCGGATAAAGAGCCACAGCCCGAAAAGTCACGTCCTGTACCTTTAAATATTTATTCAATTATAGTAATTAAGACAACACATTAATAAGTTAATAAAAGGCTGGACATCCTGTTCATAGAAACATGCACCATGATCCTGTCTCACAAAACCAAAGCCACTTTTTTTACATTGGCTTTAAAAGTTCCAGATCCTGTTATTTTCTGCTCTCTGTTATAATGTAGTTTCCTCATCACAACCATCACTGGAGTTAGTTTGTTTCATTCACATGTTTAACACACAAATCCTGCATATTTAGGCTGAGTTCTTCTCTTGAAACAGAAAACACTCTGTTCCACCTTGTGATGTCATGTGATAATACAGGAAGTGCTCCACTGTGTTCTTAAACTCCATACACCTTCACTAGAACCATTTGGGTAATTTCAGCTCTGGAAGTGCTTATCTCTACTGAACAAAAAGCAAACAGTAGCTGTTAACTGTTTCTGTCCTGAACTGTTCCATTATTGTATCACAGAGGAATAAGTTCTATCAGCACATTTACATGTGTACAGCACAGAGTAAAGAATCATGTTGCACTCATGTCTTATTCCTGTGTCCACAGGCCCAGACCAGAGCTGCTTCACTGGAGGAAGTCTTCACACTGTCTCTGATTCATTTAAGACAACACAGAACTGTGGAAAGCTAAAGAGAGCTTGTATGTACTTATTTTAGTTTAAAAACTTTTAAGGACATTAGATGCTGCATGAAAGCTTATAGTGTAGACTGAATTAAATAATAAAAAACTAAATAAACTAAAATATTAATTATAAAATAAGATAAATATGTACATTCTGCATGATTTCATCAACAAGAAAAAGTGAAGTCTGTGTTCAAAGAAAAAGATGTGCAGAGGCGATCGTCAACAACATGAATCACAAAACATTACTAATAAATGAAATTTACATCTACTACACAAGACCAGTTTGAATCACGACCAGTCAAGAAAACAACACATTAACACACAGAAGCACACACAGTACCAGTCATCATTGGCCTGTCATGATAATTACTACACTGTGTGAATAATTACTAGGCTACTCATTTTTTAATAAAGAACAGAATAAAACTTTCTTAAAAGTATGCACAATTATTGGGCATATTAACATGAAGCCAAATTCTCAAACACCATTTTATAAAAACAAAAATGCCCATAAGTAGCACACAGAGCTACTAGTTCTACTATCTAGCCAGGTCACAAGAAATTGAGCATTTAAGAGAGCCACAGCGAGCCTTAGATGAAGTACAGTTAGACGCCTATAAAACATAAACCATTATCCATTTATTAGTGTACAAAGTTACGCATCAAAATGATACATGTGCAACGGTAAAAGGCATTTAACTAAACGAATTTCAGTTATTCAGCACAGTACGTCTAATTCAGAAATCCTTTGGCGAGCGACTTGGAAGAAGGTGGAGAGCTACAGGTTGGAGACTCCTGATCTAGACTCACGCTCATCTCATTAGTCCATAAAACCTTTGAAGAATCTGTCTTGACTAAACCCAAGAACACCCAGTATTATTTTGGATTTCAGCTATATTAATTACAGTTGCCCCCCATTTGTATTAATTAACACTGGCCATCAGAATATTGTGACGTCATCTGAAACCCACTATTATTTCTAAACCAATATATCGTGTGTTATCGTGACAGGCCAAATACCACACACCCTCCTTTAAGTGCTATAGCATGTTGAGCAACCGTGTCAGTTTACTACTACAAAATACCAGAGAATACAAAAGAAATATTTTAAATCATAATAAATACTATATGATATCACCATTTCAAATTCTTGCGAAATTTGAGATCCAAAAGTTGAAAATGGTCAATGATCAACTTGGGTTTGTTCAAATGAAGACTTGATCAACGGCCAATTTGTTTTTGAGAGGAAAAAACACAGAATAGAAAATGGGACAATTAGAGTGCTCAATTAATACGAAAATACAAAAAAAAAAAAATATATATATATATATATATTTTTTTTTTTTTTAAACTTCAGTAATGTCTTTTGGTACAAACAAAATATTTTATATCAACTATCCATTGGAGGTTCCAACAGCTACACATCTTTTTGTTGTCCAGTTTTTTAATGCAGATTGTCAGCAGACTTCATTCTTTTATCATGTTGTTTTAGACAAATATTACGATTTAAAATGTCCAAATTATAACATAATAATCCACGAGTGTCATAGATTAGAACTATAGCAGACACAAGCACAGTGTCTTTAAATCAAATGTTACAATCAAGTATAAACATGACTAAAATACAAGGATTTTCTTCCATCTTACTAAACACTTATTTATCTTTAAATAAATTTAAAAGGACCCATATACATATTCACTAGAGTCATTTGGACAATTTCAGCTACCACTACCACTACTTGACATCACAAGAGCATTTTCGGTAACATTCTTATATTATTGCAGCTCACAAGAGTCAATTTTGTGTAACATAGGATATTAAATAAAAAAAAAAACATGTATTGGTACTACTCACAGAATAAAGGTACATCCAGTCACCCGCAATGACCAAACAAGTCTGATAAATCCTTGATAATCTCTGTCACTATCACTTACCGTCATAGTCAAATCAAACAAGTTTGCATCAGGTACAAAGTGCAACAAGTCAGATGACATTGAAAGAAATATGAGAACTTCCTTTACGACACTTTGGGAGTGCCAAAAAAGTAAAGGAACAGTATGTAGGATTTTATATCTATTACTCATAACTGTTTTAATGCTGATTTATTCTTAAAAAGGCCCATATTACACAATTTTCTCATGGATGTTATAATGTTTCTTCATCACAAACAGACCTGGAGTTGTGTTTTGTTTCATTGACATATTTAACGCACAAACCCTGCACATTTAAACTGACTTCTTCTCCACACACCTTCATTTTGGACCTGGAATTGCCAATCTCTACTGAACTAAAAGTAAAAAGGTAACTGTTAAGTGAACTCATATGAGAATGAAACAAAACCCAACTCCAGGTATGTTTTTGATGAGGATACAACATTCTAACAGGGGTTAAAGCTCACAAGAGTCACTTTTGCGCAACGGACCTTTTGTTGATTGTGTTGTTACTTAGTTTGCTTTCTGATAAAATAATCTAACCCAAGCTCTAAGCCTCACATGAGTCTCTGTGTTGTCTGTTTCAGTGCTGAAATCCAGTTGGTTTAAACCTAAAATAAGTGTCTCTGATCTGAACGGTACCTAAACCCCACCTAAACCTGATCCTAAGCACCTAAACCCCAGCACCAGCAGCCAGTCATGAATAGGCCTGGGTATCATTAAGCCGATACAATACATACCTCGATACACAGGCCACTAGGGATGGGCATTCCATGAAATTTTCTTAATCGATCGTCGGAAGAATTAACGATCGATTATCGATTAATCATTAACATTTTTATATTAAAATGATCATTCATTATTATTACTATCTGCACTACTAATCTGCATAAATAAATTCAACTTTACGACATATAAACCGTAACCACTCTAGAGCCACATCAGCCCGTTTGACATTATAATGTTTTTAATTCAGTTTTGTTCAACTCTCACAGAAACTAAACTTAAAACCACATCGCTAATTTGCATAAACTCAGTGAAGATAAAACTACACCTCTTGTGTCGCTGATGCGGTCAACTTCTGTCAGATTAAAAGACATGACTCAGTGGAATACAGGTTAGTGTGACCAGATTTGCATTTGTCAAAACCAGGACACCGTACGGGGGGAGGGGGGGCGGGGCCTCGTCATCCACATTGCGTGACTCTCACCTGGTAAAACCTTTTCCCACTGGACACCGAAACATATGTTCCTGCTTTATACACTGTGCACATGGACTCACACTTCTCCCGAACGCAACGGAAAGCGTGGAATTTCCTGTACAAATCATCGTTAAATACACATTTGTGCTTCGGTACGCTGCAGACTGACTGAATGTTTGTGTTTGCTCGCTCCTTCTGATGCAGAGACACATGTACACACCTGTTTGGTCACGCTACGCACAGCAACCTACATTCAGTTTGTCGATTAAAATTAACGTAATCGATGAAATTCTTAATGATCAATTATCGATTAATCGATTAATCATGCCCATCCCTACAGGCCACGATACAATACATATCTTGATACTAGGACTGTCACAATAACCGCAAAAATGAATCACCACTACTAAATACCAAGAGGTCCACAGCGGTGCATGTTGGGTCACCGCGATCAATACTGTATCATCACATTAAACTATACGATACATCGATATTTTCAATATTTTTGAACACCTCTACTCACTAAAAAAAACACTACTTTACATTATTATTATTAGTTCACAATTTAAAACTTTTTGAGCTTTTTACCGTGTTATAATGTTGTTCCCTTATCCAAAACGTGCCTGTAGAGGTTTTAGATGTCATCCATGCATGTTTGAGTAAATTAGCGATCTCTCCCGGGCCCTCCTTACGGTTACCAGTTACCGATTATGAGTCAGTGCAACTCTCAGCCCACAACTCTTCATCAGCCATGCTCTCACATGACCGTTCTCCATAGATACACAAAAGCATGATACAAAACTAACATAACAACTTGACAAACCTGATGCGACGTGCTTGATAGTTTGATAAGTGAGACACTCGCTGAATGTGTTGTTATAGCACCCTGAAGGGGGAGTGACTTGAGGCAGAAAGAGAGCAAAGGGAAGGGAAAGTGTCAACACCCAAAGTGAAGCATGTTATATGTTGTTTGACAAATATGGCATTTTTAAAACAATCAAAAGGGAACACAGTGAGTGTGTTAGCAGTTAATACGCCATAGAAGTAAAATACCCCTCTTTAACTTCCCTCATCTTCCAGCCATGCACTAAAAAGTGACATTGTTGTTTTCAAAGTGAGAAAAAAATTGCCGGACAGTGTTGCAATACGGCATGAAGTAGTTTAAATGAGGCAAAGATAATATCTGCTTCCTGAATCATAGCTAAGGGAAACAATCAGGAAATGGTAAGTAAATAAAGAAATATTGCGGGCAAAATACAGTAAGTAGATACAGACTTTAGAAAAGTATTCTTGTAATATGAGGTTTTTGTGTAGAGAACATAGACTGTATATAAATTTAAAAAGTGCATTGTCTGTGTAACTTTTCTGGTGGAGGGTCTGTCAAACGCTTTTCTCTGTGGAGATGTTATTGCTTTGTCTGGAATGTTTCACAGTATGGCATTAAGCCTTTCTATCTTCACGGAGACCAAATTAGACCAAGCTACAGGTGTGGAGAGGTGACCCAGCTCACAGTCAGAATGTCTGTTTTTCTAAGTATTATTGAGCTATAAAACCACCTGGAATTGAAAACTGTATTTTTCAAACTATAAGAGCCACTTATACTCCAGTGCGACTTGTATATTAAAATTTTCAGACTGACAGCAGCGAGACGATACTCTAGGCTCGTGTGTCAGTATCTAGTACTACTATTACTCCTGTACCACTGTCACTTCACTCTACTGCGCATGTCTCCTGCAGAAAAAGCCGCTGTCCTGCTGCAAGTCGTGAAATATTCAGCTGAAAACAGTAATCGAGCAGCAGAAAGAAAGTTTGGAGTGAGTGAGAAACTTGTGATTGATTGGCGGAAAGCGAGGATGGAGAACACAACTTCATGGCAACTGGGAGGGTGCATCATGTAACTTTCCGAAAGTCACTGGATGAATCAACAAAACCTGGACTTCAATGACAGTTGAAACCATCCTGCCGGGATTCAGAAAGACCAGAATAATTCTAACTGGAACTGATGCCGAGTCTGACGCCAACGCCACAGGAGAGGAAGTGACGCTCTGTTTACCTCATGGATCTATGGTTTATCTCTGGAGGTCGAGCAGAAGTGACACCGAGGATGAAGAATTGGATGGATTTACTGATTGGGAGTGAGATCGTGAGTTTGGTAAAGTCATATTGTTTATGCTGTAATTATCTGAAGAACTGTTCATATATGTAGTTAATACGATTAACTGAGATTCAGGAGCAGGACCACGCCTCAGCCGCCCTCTCCTCTCACCGGCGAACCACAACTCACCTCGACCACGCCTCTAATTTCCCAGAAGCCTATATGTAGCAGCCTTTCCCATCATCCCAGTTTGACTCGGCGAACTCGACCCCACCCTCCCATCCCCCTATTTTGTCTTTCAGTCATAAGACCCCTACAAGGGGGGGTCCCGTTCCGGCTGAGCCAATTGTAGATTGAGACGGAGCCCCCACCCATAGTCTCAACCCAGCCATCTTTGCCTCGCTTTGTACATTATCAATAAACTACTTCGCACTATGTTGTCGTTGGCGTGGTCCTAGCTAGTGAAGTTATGTTATCATATTAACACCTATTCAGCCTGTTGTTCTCTGTTCTGTTGTTATTGCTATAAATTTATAGTATAACTTGACTTTCAAGATAAAAAGTCAGTTTCTGGTCTCTGATTTTACAAATACATTTCCCCAAAGAGTGCGATTTATAGTCCGCAACTTATATATGTTTTTTTCTTCTTCATTGCATTGCATTTTTTGGCAGGTGCGACTTATACTCCCGACAGTGTTGGGAAGGTGACTTTTAAAATGTATTCCCCTACAGATTACAGATTACATCCCCCAAAATGTAGTTTGTAACGTAATCCATTAAATTACTTAAAGTGAGTAATGTAATCTGAATATTTTGGATTACTTGATTTGCTGTAGAGAAGCAAAGACTTGGACATCTTCACATAAGATGTTTTTGTCTGCTTAAAAGAAAATAAAAAGCCCAGACTTTACTGAACCGTATTAAAAATATTATTGAGAGAATAGTTTCGTCCTGTTAAATCCTGTTTTAGTCCTGGTTTAGACCTGGTTTAGATCTAGTTTAGACCTGGTTTAGATCTAGTTTAGACCTGGTTTAGATCTAGTTTAGACCTGGTTTAGATCTAGTTTAGACCTGGTTTTAGACCTGGTTTTAGACCTGGTTTTAGACCTGGTTTAGACCTGGTTTAGACCTGGTTTAAATCCTGGTTTAAATCCTGGTTTAAATCCTGGTTTAGACCTGGTTTAGACCTGGTTTAGTCCTGGTTTTAGACCTGGTTGAGACCTGGTTTTAGACCTGGTTTAGATCTCAGTTACACCCGGTTTAGACCTGGTTTAGACCTGGTTTAGACCTGGTTTAGACCTGGTTTAGACCTGGTTTAGACCTGGTTTAGACCTGGTTTAGACCTGGTTGAGACCTGGTTGAGACCTGGTTGAGACCTGGTTTTAATCCTGGTTTAGATCTAGGTTAGACCTGGTTTTAGTCCTGGTTTAGTCCTGGTTTAAATCCTGGTTTAGACCTGGTTTAGACCTGGTTTAGACCTGGTTTTAGACCTGGTTTTAGACCTGGTTTTAGACCTGGTTTTAGACCTGGTTTAGTCCTGGTTTAGATCCTGGTTTTAATCCTGGTTTAGTCCTGGTTTTAATCCTGGTGTTAGATCTAGGTTAGACCTGGTTTTAGTCCTGGTTTAGACCTAGGTTCAGTCCCGGTTCAGTCCTGGTTTAGTCCTGGTTTAGTGTCCGGCAATGAGTGGAATTACTAAAAAGAAAAAAAAAAGGGATATAGCCCAAAATGTGAAA